TGTAGTATTAAGATTATGATAAATTCTGATTTCTTATAAAACTTAATGAATTTATTATGATTTTTAATACTAAACTTATAATAAATTATGATTTAGTATAAAATTTAATAAATTTATTCTGATTTTTTATATTAAATGTAGAATATGATATATTATAAAATTTAATAAACATTTTCTGATTTAATAAATTCACCCACTCAGGTGAATTCTCAAACTGCCCCAACATAACCAGGTTTTGACCCCCCGCTAAGGATCTCACTGATTGGCATATCAAAGACAGCTAATCCAACACCTAGTGCAGTACCAAAATCTAGTCTAGGGGTTAGGTGTAATTTTCTAGTTTTGTCCATCTGTCTCCAAGGTCCAGGGCATAACTGGAAAATGGTCTGGTTCAGAGTTTCAATCAAACCCGCACTACATGTGCTTCAGGTCTCACCCTGGCAGCTGAGACAAGCCATCCCAACCTTCTTGGTAGCACATCTGTGTCAGTCTTGGCGAGATAAACCTCCTAGGTCTATCTAACGGCTGTGAAGATTATAAACTAACACGAATCTCATAATTGTCCAGTTTAAGAGTATTACATAGAAACACACCATAATAACATGAATTAATTATGTACTTTATTTATTTACAATAAATGTCAATAAGTACATCAATCTGATTGGAGCTAAGGGCAAAACTGTCTAACATTATCTTCCTTCACATGTTTCACCTTCCTCATGCCTTGAGAAAAACTTCCACTGACTTGGCTCATGGCACATAATTTTTCCCATTAAGTTTAATTGAAGTCATTTGCACACCTATATTGTCTGAAGGGATCATCACACCAGATTTCTGATCACTACCACCATCTCCAGTTGCTGCCATTGTGTCCCCCAAAACTATTTCTAATTCTGAATCATCAGCCACCAAACAAATACTTCTGCAACTCAACACTACAGCAGTCTCCAAATCACTTATAACGGTCTCTCAACCAGCCACAATCAACAAACTTGATGTAAACTACCTACCATTCAGACACATTTGGCCACTCTTTCAGCCCAATTTTTTTTTCTTTTCACACCACTACTGGTAACTGATAACTAATCACCATGATTGTAACTCAAACAACCACCAAGAACCCTCTTGAAACTGTTCAATAGAGGGTCAACACTACAAACACCACCACACACGACTACTTGGGTGTCACTCATGGTGACAGTAGTATTAAAACTGATATTGTAGGTCTGTCGCACCTTCCTAACACCTCCTGTAATAAGGACTGCGGCAGTCCTAGGGAAAAAAACTATTGCCGCAGCCACTTAGGTGTGTACCTTAGATTGCACAGCCCAGAGAAGTAGAAAAGAGGAGAGATCGCAGGTCATAATACTTGAAGCCGCAGCCTTCTCCTTTGTTTAGCGCTTTGATACCATGTTTTAGTGGTTTGAACTAGTCCTGTTTTGATAGAAAGAAAGAGAGAGAGAAGTAGGAGAGGTAGCTGTCGAACTAGAGAGTGTAAACCCTACTAGTCGACCATAATCTGTATTATATTGTAATTAGAGTACAAGGTCAAAACTGCCCCTACTCAAGTATGGGACAAGTGAACTGCAAAAGTAAAACCAAAATTGCCACATCATCATATAACTTAATCATAATGAAAAGACTAATCTACCTTCATCTGACCAACTCTAACACTGACTTATGTGAGACTGCATAGAATTGACTAACCATCCCATCACTATGTAGTTCTCTTGCATCCAGTTTTCATATGTAGAATAAGTCTCTGTAGGTTTCTCCTTACTACTTGTGAGATACCCGGTTTACCTCTACTGCAAACATAAATCCGTATAGACTATGCCCAAGCTAGGTAATTTGTTCCATCTGGAGTTTAATTGTAGTCACACCAGTCAAAAAAGAATCTGTTGGACCAACCCCAAATACTGAAATTTGCTTCATCTCACTTCCAGATTGCTCCATTGACCAAGCAAAATTCAAAAAATAAGTTTTTGTCTTTATGAACCTAATTGAGGACAGTCCAGAACCTGAAGGTTCAAAATCTAGGGTTTCATTACACCCGACTACCTGAGAGAAAGGGAGAAGAAGTCATTCCTACCAGAGTTCTCCAAACTTCTTCTGGCCTCAACCACCCCTTTTTGGAGATCAAAAGGAACCTCCAAGCCTTGAGCACCAGACCCAATCCTTCTCTTTAACCTATAACTGAAAATCTCTCTAGCCAGCTAGGGTTTTGGGCGAAAAACAACAGCTTCACTTCTTGGTGATCTACAGCCAGATTTTGACTCTCCAAACCCTCTACCAACTAGGCAAAATATCCTCTGATCAATCATAAACTTATCTCTTCATACACTCTTCTAATCGAAGGGTGTATGGGAAAATAAGGACAACAAAAATGGAGGAAGGGCTGCTCTGATACTAAGATGTGATTCTGTCCTCTAAATCTGAAATTAATTTCTGATTACAGCAATAGAAATGAAGGAAAAGAGGAATACAACAGAAAAGAAGAAGAAGATTGTGAAGAAGAGAAAGGAGAAGTGAGTTTGATGATGTTCTCTCCTCTCTCACTAATCTTTTATTAATCTAACTTAAGTAGGATTAATTACAAATCTGCCCTTAAGTGGGCGGCCATCTCATCAACAACTTCAAAGAAATTAAAAAGAAGGGTAATGTCCTCTAATTTTATTATTTGGTGTACCATTCAAGAAAAAATTGTTCTTTGATATTTGTTCCCTCACTGTCCCTCCCCAGACACTGCATTAGCAGGGGAGCCTTGTGCACTGGGCTGCACTTTTTATATTTGTTCCTGCATTCTAATCAGAATTTTATATCTTTTCCTGTTTGTAGTTCTTTATAACATGCTCGAAATGTGATTGGCTTGATAATAAGCATGTTGTCTTTGGGGTATGTTTCTCAACTTTACTTCTTTTGGCTTCTATCTATCTGATTACTATATTTGCCAGAAAAAGCAGTCTTCATAGCACTTGGTGGTATGTAATACAGGCTCTATAGCATGTCTGAATGGTTTTTATTTTTCACCATCCTAACTACTGATATCGTGGTTGCTTGCACTTGCAGAGAGTGCTTGGGGAAGGTCTCCTGGTTGTGAGGAAGATAGAGAACGTGGCAACTGGACCTAACAACCGGCCTAAGCTTGCCTGTGTTATAGCTGAATGTGGGGAAATGTAAAAGGCTTGACACCAAAACAACTGTATAAGTGTACTGTTATTATATCTATTTTCCTGTCCATTATCTTTAATAGAAAGATGAGTCCCAAATAGTGGTGGCAATTGGGCGGGTTGGGTTGGGTTTGGTTTGGGTTGAGTTTCAACACAACCCATTTAACCCGCCAACCCGTTAATGACCCAATTATTTAAAATTAAATGGGTTGGGTTCAACCCAAACCTGCTTTAACCCAATCCAATCTGCCCAAACCCATTAATCTTATATTTATGTACTTAAAACCAAAAACTAAACTCCATTCTAATAAATAAGTTGGTTATAGCTTAGTGGTAATAATAGTTATTTACACAAGTGGTGAAGCTTCAAATCACATTACATGCATTATTTTTACATAAGTAGCAAAGCCATTTAACTATGTTCGGATTCTGGATTTGACGAACCACTTAGGTTCAAACTGGTCAGACCAACTTGAACTATCTAATTGGATTGTCTTTGAGCTAATCACATCAAGAGTGGTTGAATCGTTTAGATCTGGACCCGTCCGACCAGACTAGGTCCCGATCGAATTGGAACCGGTCGGACCAGACCCGAACAGATCGGATTCAGTCTAGTCGGGGCCACACCCGATCAGGCCAGTTCAACTCGGTCGGGCCAGACCCCGGTTGGACTGGACACTTCGGTCAGATCGGGTCGAGTTGGTTTTAGGTCGGTCCCAAGCCAGAGGCTCCAAAGGATATAGGTTAGCTAGCATTGTTGACCCAGGTCGGATTCGGGTCAGGTTGTATCGAGTTGAACCAATGATTCGAACCGGGCAAAGCAAGTGGGGTGGTTTAGGGTTTAGACTTCACCCGGTTTGACTTGCTTCGGCTTTGGGTCGACCTGGATCAGCTTGTGTGAATAATGGTTGGACCGAATGACCCAAACTGGGCAAAGCAAGCGATACCAAGCCACCCCGTTTGAGGTCTATTTTAAATTCGAGTTGACCCAAATCAGTATATGTTTGATCGGGTCAGACTGCGTTGAACTGAATCGGACTTGGGTGAGATTGATTTGGATTTATGTTAAGTGAAGTGTGTTGATTCAAGACAAAACTAAATTTAGTCAATAATTAATAGAAAATTAATGCATTAATTATAAATTATTTAATTTAAATAAAGAAAATAAAAAAAAGGCTAAGAAATTAATACTTATGTTTGTAATGGTTAACCCAACGGTTATCTATAACCCAACTCAACCCAACCCATTTAAATGGGTGGGTTGGGTGATGGATTGATCACACAACCCGCTAAGTAAATGGGCAGGTTGGGCGGGTTAGATTCTGGGTGGGTTGGGCGGGTTCAGCGGGTTGGGTGAAAAATTGCCACCCCTAATCCCAAAGATGAAAAAATTAGAAGGTACATTGCCATAAGAAGCCTTCCATGGCATTAGGAAGTACCAAGCTCTCTCTCTCACTGTCTACCCTGGTTTTACTTCTACATATTTAATAGGATCAGACTCCATAGTTAGTGCCTTGACAGCATACAAGTTTTGGTTATTCCTCTAGGCATACACTATACATTATCAAAGGCCTTCCCGTTTGGCCTCACATTTGTTGAGGAAATTTTAGGGCCGGGATCAAGGCCATAAGTTGGTTGGATTTGATTCAGATCTACCTAGATTTGAATTTGACCCAATGAATTAGATTCTGTCAGAGTTTGATTGGATCTGAACTGGATTTAGATATTATATATTATTAATAAATTGAACTACAAATCGACCAAAATATTGTATTTTATTAATAAAATGAATTAGATATGACTTAAATATATCTTAAATCCTTTCGAAGAGGAAGTTTTTGCAGTGGAGGGTCTGTCCTTGATTCGGAATCGGGGGTGTAGTGTGATAGTGGTAGAGGAGAGCGACAACTCAAACTTAGTTGCATTCACACACGGGAACATCTCCCACACTTCTATATTGTCATTCATGGGGAGACATCAACCTCACAACAATTGCAACTGCATGGAAATCATGGGGAGATCAGAGATGTTTCCGATGTGGGGCTGCAACATGCTGTGAGATTGGTGTGAGGAGAATCTGGGTTTGTTCTCACAGCACTTGCAGCTGTGGATTGGGACGCGCTCCGTGAGGATTTGATCTGGGTTCGGCCAAAAGACTTGTCTTTTTGCTTAATATACTATCTTTTGGGAGGGCTAAGATATCAAAATAAAAAAATAAAATAAAATAAACAGAAGCTGTCAAAATTAGCTCCACTGGAAAACTGACTTCTCAGCTCAATTGCCTAATGTAATTTTATACATACCTGGRCTTTCCATGTTTTTCACCAAATATAGCTTCATGACTTTCCATGTAAGGCGTTAGTAGTGTCAACAGTTTTTAGACTCCCGTTGTTTGGTCATGGTTCAACGTACTTGTACGTTGTTTTTACCATATAATACTCCTTATATTTTCTGTTTGTTATATTAACAAATAACCACTATACCATGAATATTATCATTTAAACATGTTAAAAGGTCCTAATATCCAATAACTAGCATATCACTGAACTTGAAATACGTTATGATAACTCACTGATGTGTAGGTTGCGATATTTTGAGCCTTCTTTCTTTCTTTCTTTTTTTTCATTTTGTCCGAATCTATTTGCATTTTGTGGTTTCAAAAAAAAAAAAACATTGGTATGGTTCTGGAGCCATACCATCCTTTCCTAGAAAATTAGAACCATGAACCCAATACTTTTGAGTCCAGCCCAACATCGATATACAGGTCCCATTTGGGAGGCTTGTGGTGAAGATAGCTTTGATTCGGTTAAGCTATGTTTGTTGACAACTGGCTTATCTGTCCAAGAAAGAACTCAGATAATCTACGTCCTTTCAACTGGCACATCAACACAACTCCGGATCTCTTATCCACGACAATCCTACCAAACCTATGGCCTACCCATAAAACACTACTCCCATGCATTGGGAACATCTCCCATGCATAACATCATGTAAGGGCGTGAAATGTTCTCCATGTATGATTGCGACCTTATGTGAGTAGAGTTGTGGGTAGGAGATCCGGACTCTGGCAACACACATTTTGGCTTTTCAGACTTTTCACCAACAAGCTTATAGCTGTCCATGTGGGCCCAACACACAGACAGAAGCCACTGCACTTTAAACCTCCCAAACGGGCACATAATAGTTGCAGTATGTTTTTGCTGATGTTTGGTTCAAAAGGATTTTCACGTAATACATCTCACTGTGTTCTGAGACGGCCAAATTATCAAAATGCCTGTATTAAGGTGAGATGAAAAATTTACTGAGGATCCGTTGACGGGAGAAATCATTGATTGTTGTTCCTATTGCTATTTCAACATGAGTCATTCTTATTGATCAGGACCCCTTCAATGTAAAATTGACTGCAACCATTTGCAGCTAATTTTCTATGAAAACGAGGAATTGATAAAAAAGAAAAAAAAAAAAACTGGAACCATATGGAAAACCAAATACTACCCAAAAATTAAAATGTCCTCGTGGATTTTAATTAGAGACAATTTATACGGAAGGCTCAATTGGAAGGAGTACACAAATATAAATATATAGTGTAAAACCCTGTGTTATGTGTAATTTTGTATATATTTGTACTCTTTCTTTGATTAAGGCTCAGTTTGAAAGGAGTACAAACACAAATATGTACAGTGCAAATACATATAAAATAATACAAAATACAAGATTTTGTACTCTACAAATTTGTATTTGCACAGAGTACAAATACAAATATGTACGGTACAAATATATACAAAATAATATAAAATGCAAGGTTTTATACTGTACATATTTGTATTTGTATTCCTTCCAAACTGAGCAAATTACAATCTTGTAAGACAAATTTGGTAAATGGTATATGTTTTAGAGGCATGGAACAGGCAAACAACAAAATGGAATGGCCAAACAGGATTCTTGATTCATATAGCTGACTGGCCCAACCCATATGGTTGGGATAAGGCTTTGATAATGATGATGAACAAAGAAACGTCATATCAATAGTAAAGGAAATCCAATAAATAAAACAAAATAAAAATAGAATTGGCATAAAAAGTGGCTGTATAACTTGGATAGGCTCGGGTTGGGTTTTTGTCAAAATTTTAATGGGCTGGTATGATGGCCTGAGCCCTAATCAGTATGCTAACTCGGGCCAAACCGAGTTCCCTAATATGAAATAATGTGAGATCATAGAGATGACCAAATATTTAAAGCAGAAGACCTAAGTCTAGCTAGAAAAGCGGACTAAGTGCAAGGTCATTGGTTGAATATCAAGAAGCAAATAAAATAAATCAAAAAGGAAACATAGACTAGGAAAAGAGATAGAGAAGTCTTAGGCCATGTTTGGGAGTGCTTAAAAATAAGTGTGTATTCAAAATAAGTGCTTATTTGGGCCATTAAGCACTTATTGATATTTGGGAAATAAGCCCGAAATAAGTGCTCATTTTAAAAATAAGGGCTTATTTTTTAAATCTAAATTTCCAGTTTTTTTTAAGTGATTATACAATAAGCACTTATTCAATTTTTTTCTTCCAAAATTATCCCTAGTTGAATTTTAAAATACCACTTATAAAATTATCCCTAGTTGAATTTTATAAAAATACTTTCGCAAAAGTTTTTTTATAAAGTATTTTCATAAAAGTGCTTTTATGAAAGTAGTTTTATAAAAGCACTTATGAAAGTACTTTTATGAAAGCATTTTTATGAAAGTACTTTTACAAAAGCGCTTTTGTAAAAGTACTTTTATGAAAGTATTTTTATAAAATCACTTTTACGAAATCTCTTTTATGGAAGTACTTTTATGAAAGCACTTTTATGAAATATGAAAGTACAATGAAAGTACTTTTACGAAAGCATAAAAGTACTTTCGTAAAACTGTTTTTGTAAAAGTATTTTTTTAAAAGTGCTTTCGTAAAAGTGCTTTCTTAAAAGTGCTTTCATAAAAGTATTTTTATAAATGTGTTTTCAAAGAGTATATTTTGAAATTTTGAAAGAAAATAAAGGACAGAATAGTCACAAATGCTTATTTAAGTGCTTATTAGAGAA